AAATAAAAGTGTATGTTTTTGCATGCATACGTGTACAATGGCCCTAGCAGAGGGTGTGCATGGTCTCTCGAGCAGAAACGAGTTTGTATGAGAGAAGGAAGGTAATGTGGATTTTTCCCCTTTTTGCAATCCATGGGTCTCATGGGAACAAAAGGCTTCATGTAAAGCAAATGTCACCTGGTGTTTAAGACTTCTTTTTTATGGTAGGCATTTCCTTGAAAGAAAATTAGGTATGACCGTTATTTGGATGCATATCTCTTGTGCATAATTCAGGCATTACTCTTCTGATAGCCAATCTGACTGTGGAAAAGTGCATCTGTTAGTAAAGCACCGTTATAACATTATTTCCTGATGGGAACAAAAGTCTACAAGTAAAGCAAATGTCACCTGGTGTTTAATTAAGACTTCTTTTTTATGGTAGGCATTTCCTTGAAAGAAAATTAGGTATGACCGTTATTTGGATGCATATCTCTTGTGCATAATTCAGGCATTACTCTTCTGATAGCCAATCTGACCGTGGAAAAGTGCATCTGTTAGTAAAGCACCATTATAACATTATTTCCTGTGTAACCACTACGATGGTACTTTATAGAATGAAGTTGGAGGAAGAAAAAGACACAAATTCGAAAAAAAAAATTTCTGATGAATTTAGGACCCTCTGGTGAAAGGTTGGGGAAAACATTACTGTATTCTTTAAGTTGATTAAGCAAATTAGCTTTTCATGTTCAAATATTGTTCTTCCTTTCTTCAGCTTAGCTTTAGAATAATAGTGTGTCAAAATGCAATTGTCTTAGTTAAAAACCCAGTGATATTTATATAAGAGCAGTTGCTGAATTTAAATAATTTTATTTATTGATTGATTTTTGAGAGAAAGACCACAGTTTGTTGTACCACTTATTCATGCATTCATTGGGATTGAACCCAAAACCTTGACATATCCAGTCGACGTTCTAACCAGTTTATACTGGGCCAGTAGAGGTTATACTGGGCCTAGGCTGAGCAGTTGTTGAATTTAATATCAGACTCTTAGGTTCCACCTTTGCCTCAGTAATATTTATTATTATTATTTTTAAAAATATATTTTATTCATTTTTACAGAGTGGAAGGGAGAGGGATGGAGAGTTAGAAACATCAATGAGAGAGAAACATCAATCAGCTGCCTCCTGCAAACCCCTTACTGGGGATGTGCCCGCAACCAAGGTACATGCCCTTGACCAGAACTGAACCTGGGACCCTTGAGTCCTCAGGCCGACGCTCTATCCACTGAGCCAAACCAGTTAGGGCAATATTTATTATTTTTTATCTTATTTCCATTAGTATTATTATCTGAGGAAGGCACTAAATAAAACCAAAGTTGCTTATAAAAAAATAATGGGTTATTTCCTGTATACTTTTATCACCTCTTAAACATTTTACGAGGCAATGAATATAAGGATGAATGAAATAGAACTAACCCTATGGCTTCTTACAGATGGAGGGTGACAGACAAAATTAATAAACACCCAATTGTATCATCGGAGAGATGTGGATGTTGGTGGCACCAAGA